GGGATTCAGATAAAATGTTGTAATAGAAACCCCCTTCCTATACTTCCAGAAAGAAGATAAAAATAACTGGAACAAAGAGGAAAAAATACATCAAATCACTGAGATAAAAAAAGACGTTTGCCATCAGCAGAAGAAAGGAAGACAGTAGAGTGGGACGCCAATGAAGCTAATGGGATTTCATTCAGGAGCAAAAAGGCAGAAACCAGCTGTGGGAGAAAGAAAGATGCATTGCAAAATAGGAGAGCTGGTATTAGAATGCCAGAGCATAGGAGATATAAGAAAAGAGCCAGCTAGTAGGAGAACTCAAAAAGATAGCAAGGGATCTGCAGTAGGAACTGAGATATACTGGCACAGGGATTTGAATTGGCTAGCCTAGATAGATTAGAACTTGAAACAGGGGTCTTAAAAGTGGTTCAGGAGACTGAGACTTCAGTACAATGCAAGGGATGGAGTAGAACTAAAATTGCAACAGAAACAAGCAATAACAGAGGATGAAGTATGCAAAACTCACCAGAGCAGCTAAAAAGGAACCAAAATTCTTGAGTGTCACCATCTTTTATAGTACAAAACCAACTGGTAAAGCATCTTGTTCTCCTCCAGTGTGGTACAATACACAGAAAATTAGCTATAACTTAATCTGCTATTAAATGAAGCAGCTTGAGGTGCTGGAACTAGATGTCCCAGTCTTTCTATACACGCAACTATAAGATTCAGTTTGATGTCACAGGATGGGATTTTTCTTTTTGAAGACGGACCAAATTCAAAAAGTGTATGCACAAAAAGTCAGAAAAAATATGTGATTAGAAGGTCAAGCACTTTCCTGTTACATACATAACTTTAACTCATCTTGTTTATGCTTGTACATTAAGATAAAATGTTTAAGAATTCAGGAAGAAACACAATAGTTGTATTTTCTTGATCTTTACATGACAAAAGTATTGCACTGGGAAAACAGAATGTATCTGGACCACTGTGAACTAGCCCAGGAAAAAAATAAGGCTTTTTCTTTGGAAGCACATGCAGGGAATACAGTCTTTTGCCCAAGATATTGAGGGTAAGATTGACCTGTGACTACTACACGTGACTTTCTTTCTTTCTTTAATATCATGGTGTCATGCCTCTGGACTTGGGCAAGAAAATGCACAGTCCCCACAGCTTTCCTGCTTTGAGTGGTTCTTGTGGTTCATAAGGCAAAACTTATGAGTCAAGCAGAGAAGATTTGAAGGGCAGTGTTGTGGTATGGAATATGAAACTAGATGTAATTGGAGTCATATCTGGGGTTTGCATCAGGGCAAAAATCCTTTAATGCTTTATGCCAAAAGATCATCTCCAAGGAAATCTGAAAACTTCAAAGGTGCCAGTGCAAAGTTGTTGAACTTCACACACTGTTAGATAAAGCTCACTATTCCAGAAAGTATTGCAGATAATTCAGTCTTTCCATCCATTTGCACTTTCTTGTCATTTGGACAGCTCTGTCTATAACACTCATGCTGTATGGACACATGTAAAAGTGATCTTTAGGAAGTCCTGAAATTCCTTGTACCAGAAGTACAAGGATCTTTACTAAAAACATTTACATATTACAATTTGCATACATTGTAATACACTACAATACAGGTGGTGGGGTTTTTGTTTTGATTTCTTTTTCTCCCGGATGACTTGTAACCATCGTAAACTAAAGGACTCTGAGAACATCATGAGATCATTGATCTTTTCAGAAGTGCTTTGGGATTTTTAATGGCCCCAAAGTACATAGGACTTCATATTAACATTTACGCTGAGCATTTCTTGCAGCACTATAGATAAAATGGGAATAGACAAAATAGCTTTCCTGAGACAAATAAACTTCAGATTTAACACAGTTTGAAAATCAGGTGCACTGGAGTAATGTTCCAAAACAGCTTCAAAGCCAGTCACCCTTGCACGTGTTGAATACCTGCAGCCCCTTTTCTCCTTGTGCTTCATTTCCTGTTTCTTGCTAAATGTGTGCTCTGTGCCCTTTCATTTCAACGTTTCTAACAAACATCATCCCACAAGACAAACCTTTTAAAATTCCTGACTTGTCCAAAAACTTGATTCTAGTAACAGAAGAAAAGAGAAAAATAATATAAACCTCAACATTTTCAGTGGCTTCCAGCAACGAATTTTTCTTTTTCTAACAGCTTAATCCAGACTTCACTCTTAACTGTTATCTCTCCCTTCCTGATGTGTCCAGTACAACAGAACTAAAGTTTTTGTCTGATAACATGGATTTAGTTGCTATGACTAGGGCTGCTTCCTTTCATGTGAGCTGTTCTAGCCTGCCTTGTTCTCCAGAGTTTTGCCTTCTGTTGCATACAGTGCAGATTGGTCTTTTATCCCAGTTTCTATTGTTTGGCAGATTGTTGATTATTTTGTATATCCTAGTCTCTTTTGTTTGGCAGACTGTTGATTTTGTTGTTGTTGTAATGGGCATCTTAAAGGCCAAACTGCTCTAGGAAAACATATTGGAGAAAACAAATGAATTTGAAGAGAAACTGTGCCACACAGCAAATTGTATGGGCTCTTGCCTCGAAGAACATTACTTGCTTTTCCATGTTTAGAGGCCATATTTACTCAGAAGACGCTTCCTTTAAAATATTATGAAATTGATGGAGCCATTCTTCACATCTGTGAGATAATTTAGATTTTAAATAGCTTAAAGACCATAACTGGTTAAGATAGATTAATAAGTTGTAATCACATGCAACTCTCTCAAAGTAATTTATGCTTTTCTAACTTCTAGTCACGTACTTTTTTTTCAGCTAGAGGATATATCACTTATGGAATATTGAACATTAATAGATCAGTAACTAACAATTACATAGAATTGCTTTTTCTGCTTGGACTAGTCAGCATTTGGATAAATGTAGGTTCTTCCATAGCATAAGAGCTTGGTCAGATCTCTGATAAATTAGTACGAATCTTATCACTAAATTCAAAGAGTTGGAGATCAAGCTGAATAAAGAGAATAAGATATATCCCCAGGTAAATGAGAGCCAAGGAAAAGATTTCAGGACTGAAACATGAAAATTGATAGAAATAAATGACCTTACAAAGCTGGAAGAGAGCTACATGGAGAGGATACCAGGTTAATCCTCTCAATATGTCAAATGGCTTACTGGAACACATCCCTTTCCTTAAAGTGAAGCACTTCCCTCCAAAGTCCACCAAATTAAATGTTTGACTTACTTCTGGGTAGGAATGGGTGCCTCGGAGAAATTGGTAATACTGGGACATATTTTTCCCTGAGCATGAACCAGCTGAATTGGTTCATAAAAAGTGACCCTGGGAGCACTTCTGTAATTTAAGGATATTCTGTAATATTCCTGATCTTTTAACTGTAGATAAGCATTTGGACATCCAAGTAATGATTTTAAGGTTAAAAAAGGTAGATGTGGACACTTTAAAACAGCTTCGGATTCAATATTACAGTGAGCATAGTGTCTGGAGAAACCATTGTGAGATGATTTTTCCTGTGTAGTTGCAAATGCAGGATTAGTAACTAAAGCACTTGAGTCTCCTAGGAGGGTCTGTGAAAAAAAAAAAACAACAAAAAACCAAAAACCTCTCACTGAGGAGTGGTTATACATTTAAAAGATTCTGCTGTCATATGAAAACTGTTCACCAATATGATTAAAGGCTTGCTATCTGGTTTCAAGAGAGTGTGGTTTTCAACAGAATATTGACTTCAGTGGGGCTATTTTCATATGCTACCACCAGGGAAAAAGGTTCCCACTTCAGTCTTTGTTAGTGAAGGTTTTGATCCTTTGTCAGGGAAGGAATGTGTCACAGATTCATGAACAAATACATTTCTGTATTAAAAAAGAATGAAAAATGTATTTTAAAAAGAACTAGTGAAACAAATAACATTAGTAAGAGTTTTAAGCAATAATTAACAGTGAATTGACGAAGCAGGAGCTAAACAGTCATTGTTGAATGTTAAATTTTTGCAAAATTACAATATATTATCTAGCATGTTTATTGTACATTTTGAGAATATAAGTAAAGAGTCATGGATTAAAAATTCCAAATTGAATTTGTAGTCAAATATGCATGAACGTGTATGTAGTTGGTAGACACTAGTAGCATTTTCCTGTTCCGTCATAGTCTCATTTGATAAACATTAATATTTAAAGATTGATGACTTCCCTTGTGTCTGCAGTATTGCTCATGAAAGGCTGAGAATAAAAATATTTCCTGAAGTCAGGTAGGTACAGTATGAATTGGCGCTGGAAGTATGTGTAATGATTGCCTACATCTTAGACCGTGTCTGTACTGGAGCTTCCTTATTGGTACACAAGTGTGGTTCACTTTATAGTTTCTAATGTGGCTGGAAATACATCAGCAAAATCAATAAATTACATTTGTATAACAGCTCCTCTCTCCCTTTTATTTCAGGAAAATAAGCTATACCAGTAAATGAGAGGTTTTGCTCGCAGGGGTTTATTTGTGCTGAAGTCTACTGAACACAGCCGTGTTGGTCAGCAATCACGTCCCCACAGCCTTAGCCAAGACAGATACAACAATTATTTATCACAGTACTTGTTCGCTGACCGATGTAGAGAGTGAGTGGTTCTTGTGAAAGGGGCACTGCTCACTGTGGTACAACACAGACAAAGCACATATAACCTCCTTTTTCACTTCTGTACTTCAGAGCTCCTTTTGTGGAAGGCCCAGACACCAAACAAAACAATGTTTTTAATTCCTTGGTCTGAGCACACCATCTCTGAAGTCATGTCAGTGCATGGCAACTTATATGATCTGTATGATAAGAAGCTGTGAGCACTTAATGTATTTTTTCAGATAACCCACCCAAACCAGCATCTTTTTTCAATATTTTTTCAGAGCAGCAGTTATCTGTTACAGTGACAGGCTTGGAATATTTTATGTCTTCTTACTATCCCCTTTGCCACCGAATATCACTGTCAGCAGCACTTTGAGTTGTCAGAGAATTATTGAAGAAGGAAAAGTTTCCTTACCTAACTGAGCTGCTGCCAGCATCAAGGTCTTGTGCTGTTACTGCACCTATAATGGTCCCCACAGGAGTATCCTCATAAACCTCCATTGTGTACATAGGCTTGCTGAAAACTGGAGGTTCATCCATATCCAACACATTTATCTTCACAGTGGCAGTGTCTTTGAAAGGACCCACAGAGTGAAATCGATGGTCAAGATGGAGATTAGAGGCCTCAACTTTAAAGGTGTATGCCTTTTTTGTTTCAAAGTCTAACGGCTGTAGAAAGAACAAAAGCAAAACATCAGATTTGACTAAAGCATCACAAAATCACTTTGGTAGGATTAATCTGACATAATCTAAGACAACTTCAGTGTAAACTTCGGTTCCTGAGCTAATCATCTAAGCTTGTTTTGCAGTTCATCTCATGCTAAGGTAGTTTCTGAAACAGGCCAGATGAATCATACCCAGGAAATGACTGTTTCTCCACATCAAAAAAAATCAGGATGACTGGCATGGATGTAAACAGTCACACTGCAGATGTCTGAAGTTAAATGAGTGAGATTCATGTCTTTCAAATGAGCTGTGTGCAGGTTAGCCAGAGTTTTTCATTCACAGCTCCCATGCACAGGCAATCAGCTGTCTCTAGCTGATCCAGTTTCTTAAACAGATTATTTCAATTTCTTTTAGCAGAGAAAGCTTTCAGATGACCATGACAATGATGGAAATAAATCCAAATGAAAACTCTGATATATACCAATGGGTCAAACCAAACTTCAAAGGTGGCTTGGAATGTGAATTCAAACTTCATGTGAACCAAGTTTTTCCTGTAATATGTCTATCTTATCAGTAAATTGTTATTCATGCCCTGTGTTTGAGCTGCATGCATTAAAAATGCAGATTTGACTCTGCTTCATGTTCCTAGATGTAATCCATAAGGACTTGAAGGCAGCATAGCAGCTTTTGTGTAACTATATGGGGTTTTGATGGAAATGCATCCTGGAATCAGATTGCTTTGGTGTTGGTTTCTGTCAACATAAATCAATCTAGTGCCTCTGGTTTTAGAAAAGTAATCATCTTAAAAACCTTAATGCAGTCTTATTTAGGTGAAAAGACACAGTAGCTTTATTTCCAGTTAACGGGTTGAGTTGCATTAGCTCTCGTGTTGTTTTTAATGTTACTGGCAAAGTCTTTTCCTGATGTCTGGGTAACACTGGCACCTAGTGGTTACTGCCTACAGTTGTCAAGTTGGAAATTTTCTAACAGGAAAAATGCTATCTGGAAAAGAGAGCAGGTCCACAAGTGTATAAGCAAGACTATTTCAATGTCTGACATTTTTTTCCCCCAGTCATCATTACCGCAGTTTTTCGAGTAATTTGTCACAGCAAGGACAGATTTAAATTCTGCCATTTTCTGTCCTTATCACAACAGGACATAATTGGACAGATGACTGGCTGGGGTAAATTGAAGTAGCTCTATTAAAATCAGTCGAGTTACCTTGACTTACATTAGCTGAACAGCTAGTATGATTTTAAATCTTTATGAAAGAATTTATAATTTTAATAGACTAGATGGTCAGTCTTTTCTGAGATGGGGATTTAAAATTAGCCGTACAAGTCTATGTGCTATAGAAATAATCAGGCTTGAAAACTAATTACTACTAACCAATCCACTACCACATGCAACCATACTCCTACAGACAAAATTCCCAGTAAAAGCCAGTGTGAGTTGCACCTTCATGACTGGACTGGCAGAAAGAAGAAAAAACTAGGGCTAGAAAGAAACAGACAATATTAAGTGTGAAGATCTTGTGGTCTAGTGATGAAAGTGTAGACCCTAAGCTGTTGCCTTCACTACAAATGGACATGCTGCTTCATTATCTAAATTATTGTCACACTGTCTTTTCTGTTTCTATACTACTCATGTTCACTGTTACGCAATACCAAAAAAATCCCCCCACCAAAAACACCCTCTCCCAAAAAAACCCAAACCAAAAACAAAACCTCGTATCCAGCTGATTATATAAACTGATAACACATTTTCAAAAAAACATATTAAGGGGGGAAAAACCTAGAGTTCAAAGACCCAGTTTGGAGTGGAAATCTAAGCTGTCAATTAAGTAGTAATTCTAACTGATGCCTTGTATGTGTCTTTCATAGCCACAAAACTGTGTTAAAACTGTACAGATTGGCTCCTGTGATGTATGAATATGTTTGCAGCTAGATGTGCTAATGGCAAGAGCCACAATCCATGTGGTCGTTGTAGGCTTCTTTCACTGAGTTCTTCAAGGCAGCAGTACCAGATCACGGTCCTTGGCCAGTACCCAGTCACAACTTTCACGATGCAAGGATGATCCGAGGGCTGGAGCACCTCTCCTATGAGGACAGGCTGTTCATCCTGGAAAAGAGAAGGCTCTGGCGAGATCTTATAGAGGCCTTCCAATATCTGAAGGGGGCCTACAAGAAAGCTGGGGAAGGACTTTTCATAAGGGCACGTAATGACAAAAAAAGGGGAAATGAGTTTAAGCTGAAAGAGGGTAGGTTTAGATTAGATATTAGGAAGAAGTTTTTCACTGTGAGAGTGGTCAGACACTGGAACAGGTTGCCCAGGGAAGATGTGGATGCCTCCTCCCTGAAAGTGTTTAAGGCCAGGCTGGATGAGGCTTTGAGCAACCTGATCTAGTGGAAGGTGTCCCTGCTGATGGCAGGGGGATTGGAACTAGATGATCTTTAAGGTCCCTTCCAATCCAAACCATTCTATGATTCTATGAAAACAGTCCTTGTTTGGGGGTGGACAGAAAGGATTAAGATGTCAAGATATTCTATGTATTGGTATGCCCAGTCTGGCATATTTTACTGCACAGCTACCCAGAAATGGGGTAAAGTGGTTGCATTACTTCTCTTGCTCTAGCATTATGGGACAATGCTATGCTGTATTTTTGAAAAGACAGTTTGACCCCAAGAAAGGAAAATGTTTTCCTACTGTAACCTCAGAGCAACCAATTTTCTTTTTCTGCACTTCTATGAGTGTGTTGATAAATATAGTTAGAGGTTAAACAATATGAGGCCAATGCAAAGTACAGATGGCATTCAAAATAAGAAGAGACAGGCTGAAAGTGCTGAGCCATCATCAGAGAAAGAAATCAGTGACAGACTCCCACAAAATAGCAGAATTTAGCCTTTTAATATAAGTGAGGCTAAAATGCAGCTGAAACATCTGTGGAAAGATGGGAAATGTTGCAAATGGTAAACCTAGGATTTAATTTCAAAGAGAAAAATATTTTGTACAACATATATCATGCACCAAAAGACTATGGTTTCAATGCATTGTGTTTGTGGGGAATCCATGTTACAATCTCCTGATCACTTCTGGTCTTCCCAGGACTTGGGAGTGGTGGTAGATGAGAAGCTCAACATGAGCCGGCAATGTGCTCTTGCAGCCCAGAAGGCCAACCATATCCTGGGCTGCATCAGAAGACGTGTGGCCAGCAGGTCGAGGGAGGTGATTCTCCCCCTCTACTCCACTCTCATAAGGCCCCACCTGGAGTACTGCATCCAGTTCTGGAGCCCCCAACACAAGAAAGAAACGGACCTGTTAGAACAAGTCCAGAGGAGGCCACGAGGATGATCCGAGGGCTGGAGCACCTCTCCTATGAGGACAGACTGAGAGAGTTGGGGCTGTTCAGCCTGGAAAAGAGAAGACTCTGGGGAGATCTTATATTTACCTTCCAGTACCTGAAGGAGCCTACAAGAAAGCTGGGGAGGGACTTTTCATCAGGGCAGTTAACGACAGAACGAGGGGAAATGGCTTTAAACTGGAAGAGGGGAGGTTTAGATTAGATATTAGGAAGAAATTATTTCCTGTGAGGGTGCTGAGACACTGGAACAGGTTGCCCAGAGAAGTTGTGGATGCCCATGATTCTATGATTGTATAAGCCATACAGAAAGCTATTGACAGTCTCAAATTTTGTCATTTGACTGATATGCCTGGAGTCTGCCTGAAAATAGAAGAACTGAATGTCTGCCTAACTCTCAGGCAAAACTTTTTTGATTTTTAGTTTTAAAGACGTTAAAATAGCATTTCTTTGTTGTTGGGTTTTTTTTGTTTTTGTTTTTTTTTAGTAGATGTCACTGAAAACCGTGAAGGAAAAGAGTAGTCCACACAATATTTCAGCTGCCTTTTTTATTTGGTTTAAAATATATTTTGCTGTTATGTAATAAATATCTGGCAGTGCTTAGTTCTATTTTCATTTAACATCTGGAATGCTGATAAGGAAACAAACATAGCAGAATGTTTGATTCTTACAGAAAAAAACTGTAAGATTATTGAAACATCTTTCAGTTAAACAGATTTTAATGTAATGACTTCATAGAGGTATTGGGGTTTTTTTAAATAACCAATAGAAATATTTATTCCTTCTATGAAAATTATTACATTCAGAAAGCTGTTTGAATAATGCTGTTATGTTACAAAAATTACGAGTTTTTCCACAGTAAACAGCCTTTTTGCTAATCTTAAGGCAACGTCTTATTAACTGTGAACTATTCAACAATTAGAGGGGTATTTCTAATTGATATTCTAAGTATTAGTGACAGAATAGATGTATTTGGCCTCCCCTACCAATTCTTATCTGCTTTTTGATGTGTTGTTACAAGCTGCTCTGTATAGTTGCATAGTAAAATACTATCAGCATATACACAGCTGTGTACAGCAAAGGCATTCTACAAATCCCAAAATCAAATAACACATACTGACAAATCACTTCATCTTGCAGCTCTAGAAGTACCATGAACAAGCTTATTTAGTATGACTAGGAAAGCACATAAACAGCTCTGTGTTAGAAATAAATATATTTTGAAATACTACTGTTTCCCTATTCAAGGTAGAAGGTAAGAAATGCTACTATATAGATGTATCTGTATCTGAATTTATATATTATATAGATAGAAGACAGATGGGGAGAGAGAGAGAATTAAAGAACTGAAAGGAAAAGAAATGGGCTGAAAGATATGATGGATTCTGATGAGAAGCATGGCAAGGGTGCTGTGAAGGGTGGGAAAAGAACTATCCTGTCAGTTTACTCCTGCCTAAAGAGGCAGGACCAGAAACTCCAGAAATTTCTGCTTTTTATCCACACATGAGAGATACAAAAGTACTGCTTGTGATCAGGCTTTCATGATCCACACCAACAATAACAGAAATTTGGGATGAGAAACAGAATTTTGGATGAGGCTGTAAGTCCCAGGACATACAGAAATTTATGGACAGTAGCATTGGGTTGAGAGGAGGCACATACTAACTCGGGCTTGCCTCCATACTAGCATTGTGCAATTGTAGAACAACTCTATGTCATGTGTGCTCATCTCAAATCCTGGCAACAATTTCCCCTTGAAGATGGGTTGAATGTCTGTATGTTCTATGAAACACATCCATCAGACTATTTGCTGTGCATTAACATGTTTCAGTAACTTCACTTCTGCACTGGATTTTAAATAGTATAAGGAAATAATTGGTTTTATAGAGAAGGTTGATTTATTAAAGCAAGCTCCAGGTCAACCAGGAACATTCATTAACTACAGAGATGAGAAGGCACAGTAAAAAATGAGATCTGTAGGCAAATCTACAGCAAGTGCTATAGATTTGACCAAATCTGAAGTGAGTGTTTCAAGATTTGATAAGAAGTGGGCAAAATACATGTATGTTCTGTATCTGGAGAAGGCGAGAACCTGACCAATGTCAAGGGTTCACCTATATGCTGCTCTCAAGCATCTTACTTGTTTCTGCAGGTGCCTTTCACTGTTCCAGGAAGAAACAAACCCGACAGCCAGAATTTCAAACTGCAGATACTAAAGATCTCCCCTTGCTCTTCCTCTCTCTTCCTGTCATTTTTCTCTGTGGGTACCTAGGTTACCTCTTTCTGCCTGTACTGAAGGACTTAATATCGCCTGCTCTTCCTCCTCAAAATGTAAAGCCACAATTCCCACTCACAAAAACCCATGAGTTATGATTATAGGCAGATAGTGCCTGTGCATACATACATCTGCAGAGGGTATTCCCTGCCCCTGGAGAATGAAGGGGTGGGATGAGGTGAGTAGTCTGTTCAGTCTTGATAGCAAAGCAAGTAGTAGTAGTAATGCAGTTCTGGCTGAGGGACACCAGGAGTCTTCCCTATGCTCACTCTTATGGTGTACAGATGTTATCTGACTGTGCTTACATTATAGCAATCAGGATTTTTTTTTTCTTTTTTTTTTTTTTTCAGGAAAAATAAAAGCAAATTTATAAATGGTTTTGAAATGACTTAGCAGTGAATTACCACACCACTTGCAGTATCAGAATATGCTATGATACAGAAAAAAAAGTGCAAACCTGTTTTTACAGTGCAAGACACATTTTATTAGTGGCTTTGACTGTTTATAATTCATAATTGAAAGTGTTGGTCCTGTTCATTCACTAGCTTTGATTTAAAGAAGGATTGAAATGCATACCTAACTTAAATATTTACATAATCCCACAAGGTTTAATCAGTGTTTTGAACACTATGCAATGTGAAATTGCTTCTGTATAGGCAAATGAATAGTGCTGTTGTGGGCTTGTACAGTATGGGTAGCATATATTTTAATAGGTGTCAATAGAATTGTAAATGTCCAGCACTTCTCAAAATCTGAAAACTGCAACCCATGAAAATACTATTACAAGTGTAGAGGCAATGAAAAGACAACTGAGTTAACAGTATCTTTAAGAATCCAGATTGCTCCTGTTTAACTTGGGATCCAGCAAGGAACTTAAATGGATGGATTTTGGATGATTCCAAAATGTCTTAAAACACTTGGATCATTTAAAGCTCAGTGAGTGGTGCCTTTTCCCTGAGAAAAGTTTTGGGAAGGGCAATATATAGGGTCTGTATAAAGGCATTTGCTAGAGGACCAGCGTGTTGTGTTTATCTTCTTTACACACTCCTGCACAGAACCAAGCTGGCATTCCCTGTCCTTCACAGCCTGTCACTGTCCCCAGGCTCACTGTGAAGAGTAAGATTAAGAAGGGATTGGGACCAAATTTTCCCCCCTCCTGTTACACAGAATGTTAGGGATCGGAAGGGACCTCGAAAGATCATCTAGTCCAATCCCCCTGCCGGAGCAGGAACACCAAGATGAGATCACACAGGAAAGCATCCAGGCAGGTCTTGAATGTCTCCAGAGAAGGAGACTCCACAGCCTCCCTGGACAGCCTGTTCCAGTGCTCCGTCACCCTCACACTAAAGTTTCTTCTCAAGTTTAAGTAGAACCTCCTGTGTTCCAGCTTACACCCATTGCCCCTTGTCCTACCATTTGGCATCACTGAGAAGAGCCTGGCTCCATCCTCCTGACATTCACTCTTAACATATTTATAAACATTAATAAGGTCACCCCTCAGTCTCCTCTTCTCCAAGCTAAAGAGACCCAGCTCCCTCAGCCTTTCCTCATAAGGGAGATGCTCCATGTTCATGCTCATGTTCAATGACAGAGATCTACCATTTACATTGGGCAGCATCAACTGATGTTCTGCTATAGTAGAAGTGTCCTAAAATTTCGGATATGTCATATCTTAATACTGAAAAGACTGAATAAATGCAGCAAAATGACCAACTCTGAAGTACTTTGCCTGTGCTCATCCTAAGATAATTGTATCAGGCAAATTCATATATGGATGCTCTTCACTGGTAAAAAATATTATATGTATGCTGCTTGAATCTGCAGTGCCAGTTTGAATGTTTTGCCTATATAGCCTAATAGATACACTTAACCATAAGTATGGAAAAATTCCATTGCTGTGTATAAAAACAAGCAGCACATCTGAGGTTTAGGATTAATCCAGGAAGAAGTGAATCCTAGCAAAAATCTACTCTTGATGCTCATACATTCATTTTCCAATGGTTCCCTCTCACTGTTGTTTTCGACTGCTACTACACATGGAAAGGCATGCAGCTAGCCTGACAGTTCCAGATAGAATTATTTTTGAGTCATCTGCATAGAGGCAAAAAGGTGATCAGAAGGATTTTTAAAAATGAGACAAAGTTTAAAAATTCACATAAGGATTCAAAGTACATTCAAACTTTTAGTCAGAAAATAAAGGGATCTGTAAAGACTGGAGTTTATGTCTCACTGAGAAGTAAATTCACATGAGTATTGTAGCTTCCATTTTATGTCACTAGAACTAGCAAAAGAATAAGTGATTTGACATCATCTGTTCCTTTATTGAACCCATGGATAATTTATTATTTCCCAGGTCAAGAGGTTGAAGCCAAGAATTTCATTGTTAGAATGAGTATAATGCAAATATAGATCCATGGTCAGAGCCAGGGGAGGTTTAAGCACTTAAATTCCAACTTTTATTGGAACTAAAGCTTCTCTTTTCCTAAAGCTTTTCTTAATACACATAGCCAGAACCCTTTCATTTCCACTTCCTTGCGAAGTGTTCAGCTCATAGGTGTGCTTGTTTGACAAAAATTACACCTACAAATATAGGCTGTCTACAAAACATAATCTGGCCTTTCAAAATGAGCTGGTGGTTTAGATTCCTTCTTAGTAAACAAGTTGACCATTGGTGTATGTGTACATGCCTGGACTCAGAAGACAACCATTGGTTAAAATGTGACTGTCACTGTTTTGGATCTCTCCTGCTGAGTGCTTTAAGCACTGCATTCCAAATAAAGCTTGTGCTTTCCATTTTAGAAATTAATAAATTCAGTAATCTTGAACTTATTCTAGTACACTGAAGCAACATCAACAGCTCAGACTCAGTGTTCTTCCTTATATGAATATCTGGTAACTAGCTATTTGGGACACTATTAGGAGACTGGAAGCAGGACATGCAGTTTTGCAACCACTTGGGACTGCTCTACCCTGAGTAAAAACTATGTTCACCACAGTACTGCACAACAGTTTCATTATGAATATAACAAACATAAAATGTAAATTTTCAAAATAAAACACAAGTTTAAAATGGGATATATTTCCTGAAACATAAAATATAGCTCTTTCATTCCATGCTGTGAACTGGAGCACTTTTCATATGATTTTATATGGAAAATTTCCCATAAAAGAGAAATTACACTTTTTATACAGAGATACAAATTACTTTTCTGCCACTAAAATGAATATTATTTTTGAAAAGTCTTACCTGATTGAATATGAAATGAAAGGCTAAACTCCAATTTCTTTTAAGACTAAGATCACAACCACAGATTCTAATAAAAATACAAACTACTGCGTGTTACTTATCGGCTATAATTGCGCAACATTTAATTGTCTTACTTAGTTTTGCACTTGAGCCATAGGTACATACAACCCATTGGTGCCACATACCTTTTTCAGTCTGATGACTCCTTCCTGGGTATTCTCATCTGTTGTGATGTCAAACAAGTTTCCTCCATCTCCTGGAACTATGTTGTACTCAATTTCTGCATTTTTCCCAAAATCAGGGTCCACAGCTCTGATCCTTCCAATAGCAGAACCAACATGAGAGGATTCAGGTACTTTTAAATGGAAGATACCTGTGACAAAGTGGTAAACAGTCATTCTTGAGATTTCTTGATAATTAACATATCTCTGACTAAAAACACGGAGGCTGTGCAAAAGAAACAGACTTAAATAATCTAAATAAAATTACGAGATACAAAAAAAAAAAAAAAGGACTGGAAAAAGATATGCATCTTTTACACATTACCCACTGAACATGCTAATTTCCCCTACATTTCATCCGATACAACCATAAGGACCTTAGCATCTCTGTCTCTTCAGCTATCTATCTATATTTCTATCTTTAATTTTACCCATATCATTCATTCTTTTGAATTAAACTCTACATGTAGACAGAACACTTACAAACATTTTCCTCCATCAGTGTTTAACAGTTTTTAGTACTTGATTTTTTTACTTTGTTTGAGCAAATATATCTATGTATTTCAGAGAAAAAGAATTTCCATCTGCTTCTGTAGTATTCAGTATTATAACTACATGTACAAATCGTGAGAGGGAAGATATAAGTATTTTTTACATGTTAGCCACCAGAGGGTACTCTTACTAAAAGTTCAGTGATAGATTTTTAGCTCTGCACACTTCCATTTTCAGTTTATATAATACTAGTGGTAATAAAAATTTTTAAGAATACACTGAAAATTGCACACTTTAAAAATAATCGTTACAACTGATACGTGAGGACAAAATGCTTTCATTCAGGGAAACAGGCGTGTTGAAAAAAATGCTAGACATAATAGTTAAAACAGATTTAAAAAAAGGTCCAAAGTGCTTTGAGTCAGCCATGACGTTAACAACAGCAGCAGCAGCAGGTTTATAGTTTATAAAACCATGCCCTGGCTTGTCACATGGCTGCCGAAGCACCTGCCTTTCCTGCTCAGTTGTGCCTCTGGCTGGAGTTGTTATTTTGTGCAGCTGCCAGTGAGGACCACCATGGCAGCGCTTCCAGTGGGCAGGTAGTGCTCACCTTCCTCCACAGAGCAGCCTTGCTGTCAGAACTGCCAGAAGCTTTTGGAGATGATTTCAGTGGGCCTGGGATGTTTGATTTGCTTCATCCTGGCTCTCAACAAAGCTAGCATGTCCTTGCCCCATCATTTGTTTTCCCGGGTCAGTCTTCAACAGCTCTTGCAGAGCAGCCCCTTTGGCCCAGGAAAACATCAACATGTGCACTGGCATTCTCTGTTCCCCTACATGTGAACGCATAGGAGGACATTTACACCTCGTTTTCAATAGCACAGCAGGACAGGCATCTGTGACTCACAGGAGGAGTATTATGGGGATATCTCAGAGATTTCGGCCTGGTAGTGGTTCAGTCACACTTCACAAAACAAGGCTCTGAGTTGTATATCATGAAACAGCAGGACAGATGACTCGCATCCAGCCACTGAATTAAATAGCAGACACTGTTCCCTGTCGTTATCTCTTTACAGTGCATGCTGTGTCAGCTTTTTCAGCTTTACATTATTTCCAGGTGAGGAAAAAAGTGACATTAGCACTGCTGGATTAGGAGCAAACCTACTCTTTTCTGAGCTAGTAGTTTGGGCTATGGTACCTATATAATTGTCTGTTTGAATGCTTCTGAACAAATGTGTTTTGCCTGCTTCCTCCCTCTGTCCATCTGTATGCAAATTGTATCTGAAGGCAAAACTTGCTTTATTTGTTTGGGAAAATCCCTGTAAGTAAAGTCTGCTTGTGTCAGCATCCACATTTGGACATTACCATATGTAGCTTTGTAGTACGCATTGACTGAGCTACTAAAGATTGTGTAATTACGATTTCGCCATTTTTTCCAAGGGAACATACTAAAGGAACATTTCCTTCTTCTTTTTCCAAGGGAATGTACTAAAATAAGCTTTTCTTCTTCTTGTTTCAACAACTGGAAAGGAGCACTATGATGCAAAATATTATCAAGACAAGAGTAGCCTCAACTACTTCTTAGTTGTACTTCAATGACTCTGAGTAAAGAATAAAATTTTAACATGGTACGCAGGAGACAATCACAAATCCTCCGATCATCTGATGTTACTTATATGAATGCATATGACTGAGTCTCTGCTATACAAATTACTCAGAAGAGGTGGAAGACAAGGGCTCCAAAAGGGCTTTGCCTACACTTGAACCTTATATTATGTTTCTGCAACATAGCTCTAGCCCTGATGCTCAGGTCTTTTACAGACACTTATATTGGATGACAGAAATTGTTGCTGCAGTGTTTGCTCTTTGCAGTCACAATTCTGGTGAATGTAAAATGTAGAAGCACGTGATAATGGATTTTTCCTTCTTTGCCTAGTTGATCTATTCTTAGTGACCTGAAGAGCGCTCAGATTCGTTAAAACAAGAATTTCTTTATAAAATATCATACCGGGCTGTAAAGCGTATGGGACTTAGATGAAGTCAAAGAAACACTTCATTTCTCATTTCAGATTGTTTAGGCTTTTATCAGTTTTTTTCAATGACTTGGCATTTCATCACTTCCAGAAATTCAACAGCAATAAAGATGGGGTCATTCAGATTAATTTGAAACTCTGAAGTAATCTTCAACTCTGCCAGAGTCAGATCTCTGAAGATGTAGTATATAATTACACTGCCATCGCCCTCCTCTAATGGTATTTCACTGCATACGGAAGCTGCTAATGGTGCTACTGTGACAACATACTTTCAGAATAAAATGAGTGAAAACAAATAATGTATATTGTTGCCAGCTCAGGGAAAAACTTCAAAAGAATGTAAAGGATAGCATGAAAACCTTCTTGTTTTCCCTCCAGAAAATAGTCTTTGTACAGGGGATATTTGAAATGATCAATACGTGCTGCACATGAAATGTAACAGAAATAGTTTTGCAGATTTTTATTTTTCTCTTTCTAGAAGACATTATTTCACACTGTGGACTTGCTGTGACAGTTTAGTATTATTCAGTTTTTATTGTCCATTTTGCCTGTATACACTACTACCTTCATTTGCTACAGAAATATATTGAAACAGGCCTGAGTAATAGCCTTTTACTCCCAAAGGTCCTGAAAACCTTGTTTTCTGCAGCTTCTAGGAATGATGGAGCAAGCAGCTCAGACAAATTTATGCAGCAGCTGGTTACACTGCTCCAAGAGTTCTGTCAAATTTTGTACATTGTCTCGTGTGACTTCTCTGCCTACACAAATCTTTTCTTCTACTTGCTGCTATCTTCTAAATGTTTTCTAAGTTTGCTGCTGGATTCTGTAAAGGATGAGTGATACAGGATGTAGCAAAGAAGTAAGCCCTTACTTCCTGCACATTGCACTATGCAACTGGGCTCTGCAACCAGGTACCCTTTTGCTGATTTGTCATGTATACTGCACGCATGTCAGAATATTTTCATATGTAGCAAAGCTAGTAGAAATGCATATTGCCTGGTCAAGATTTTTTACTAGGCTGTATATGGAGTTTTAAGAAAAAAAATTATATATTATTTTTAAGGCCAAAAGTCACGTGACAGTTGACATGTTTAACCCATGCAACACTTCACACTCACTTTACACTTAAAATGCAACCCAGAATCCAAAACTAGAGAAAGCCCATGATTATGTAGCATTCAGGCATTCCCTTAAAAAGCCTGTGCAGTCTTTATGTGACACAAAGTGTGTAATTTCCTTGGAGTTTCAGGTTGAGCAGCATTAATGAGGGTGATAAAAATAAATGAGTGATGATGCTGTTGAAGCTTTTAGGCTGAAATGACTGATAGAGCTTATTATTGAGCCCCAAAAATCATTCAGGAAACCAAGGTGGAGGTGAGCTAACACATAATACACGCTGTCTCTGAGTTTCTAAAACAAAGACGGTTCCAAAGCACATAGCAGGAAGAAATCACAGCTGACTAAGTGACAGGTAATCAGTCATATTGACTGAAATTCAGCACACATTTACAGTTCTTTTGACATGATTAGATTAGTTTTAGTTTTTAAGGCTCAAAAGCTTTACTGGGGTTTGATTTTTACTTACAAAGAGGGTTTTTTTAGTTTTGTTTCTCCACACTTGCATTTTACATGTACGCCACCATTTACCAAAAAGGTTTTCAATTCTGATGAGAATAAGAAATTAAAACCATCATTGCATCTCACCAGCAAAACAACCATTAAGATATAGCCCAGGTTATCATCTAAGGACTTAAGCTAAATGCATAATGGCCTTCAACCAAACAGCTCTAGATGTTATTATCCTCTGCTGTTTTTTCTTTGTCTATATTTTTTTCAGTTCTCTTCAGCAGCTGTCAAAGTATCACATTGCAGTTAATCATGACAGAATGAACCTTATAGGCAACAACACTAAAATAAAATAATTTCTTTCTCTTTGATCTAAATCTTTAATGTATTCTCAGGAACATATTAAATTGTATAAATTAAATACGTTGTTAGCTTTAATTAAGATGTTTCAGTTCTTACCCTGGCTGGGTTATAAGGGTTTTACTACAATTAATTCACTCTTAAGAATGTGGGCAAACCATTTACTTTAGGAGCTAAGCCAAGTGTTCTCAAGCATCTATATTGGAAGAATAACTTTTCTCTCCATCAACTAAGGAAATTAGGTCTCCACCTCCAGTCACACCTAAGTTGCATGCCTAAAATCACCTAAAGAAAACATGCTCAACATCTGTACTACTCAGAAGATTCCCTGTGAAGTTTTGATTTTCACATGTTCATTGGGTCCATTTTATGTAAATAGTTTTCCCTAAAATATATATTACTTTTCTTTACCATGTTGGCATAGTCTAAAGTAGAAAATTATTATTTTTAAGGATAAAAATGTGAATTCATCAAGTATAAGTGCACAATAGTCTACTGTTCTTTGTTTTAAGTTTTGGTTTTCTGTATGCAGTTTCCTTAAAATACTTATGATTTAGTGTCTGATATAGACCAAAGAATAATGATACAATAGAATGACAATTGACCTCACTTTTGTAGTCTCTTATACTTTATAACAAGTGTGATCAACTTATCAAAAGTGATGTTTATGTCTTCCAAAGTAAGTGTTTAAAGGTGACATCTGT